AGAGTCCGTCCACATATGAGTTGCCGTTACGTCCATGTTCAAAGTGGCTGTGACGTATTGCATGAGCCGAGAGAGCAGAAGAGCAGCCGTGAGTTCAAGTCGCGGGATTGAGAGCCGCTTGAGAGGTGCTACCTGAGTCTTGGAGCACACAAGTGAGAACGTGGCGCCGTTTGAGTCGTGAACGGAGATGTATATGACTGCAGCCATTGCCAATTGAGAAGCATCAGAGAATCCATGAAGTTCCACTTGCGAGTCGCTCCACGTATTGAGCCACCGAGGTATTGAGAGCCTGGCCAGGCTTGTGAGTTCTTCTCTGATGATGAGCCACCGGGCTGAGAGCTGGGATGGCAGTGGATCATCCCATTGGAGCTTGTGCAGCCACAGCTCCTGCAAGAGAATTTTGGCCTTGATCACGACAGGTGATGCAAAACCAAGTGGATCGAGTATCTGAGCCACTTCAGATAAAACGAGGCGTTTTGTGAGTCTGCCTTCCGAGCGTGAGCTTCGGGTTGAGAATGCAAAGGTATCTTCTTGAGGGAGCCATTTGAGTCCGAGTATCTTGGTTGCGCAATCGTCGAAGGTGATTTGTGAGCCTTGGTCTTCGCTGTCGGTGACAGTCTTGAGTATGTCGGGATGAGTTGCATGCCATTTTGCTAGTGGGAAGCCGCCCGCCATGCAGAGGCCCCTTAGTTGATGTGCGACCTCCTGCAATTGTTGTATTGTATCTGCACCACCAAATATATCAGTGACATACCTGCCGTGAGTGATAGCTGGCACAGCCAGTGGGAAACTATGTCCTTCGTCTTCTGTTAATTGTAACAAGGTCCGTACGGCTGAGAATGGTGCGACCTTCATCCCGTAAATGCCCGTTGTTGAATGATATGGCACCTCATTGAGCTGATTGTCCATCCAGAGTATCCGCTGTAACTCTCAGTCATCCTTGTGAATCTGGATCGGTCTGTCCATTTTGGTGATGTCCGTAGCGAAAATGTGACGATGTCTACGTATCCTAGGTAGAACATCTGAGATGTTCAGATGTAGCTTTGCTCCAGTGTACATGAGGTAGTTGACCGGGTAGCCTGATCTGGATGCGCTAGAGCCATTGAAAACCACCCGCAGTTTCGCTGTAGTACTGGCCGGCTTGAGAACACCGTGATGTGTCAGGTGAAATGTGAGCGATGACTTGAGATGAATGATGCCTTCGTAATGTGGTTGAGTGTCTCGTAATCAATCATGAATTGTTGATAGAGACGTTGATAATTCACATCCCTTGAGAATCGTCTGCGTAATCCCTTCAGACATTGATGAGCGACGTTGTAAGAATCACCCAAAAGATCGTCTGGTGAATTGAGTAGAATCCTGTCGATGTACCTCTCTGGAGAATCACGAAAGTGTGTAGTATTGAAGTGCTTCTCGCACCTCTGCTCGTTAGGTGTGAGCTGAGTGACATCGTGAGTAGGCACCTCCTCTTGATTCCAAAATTTCGTCAATAACTCAATAAGAGCATCCTCGTTGAATTGAGTAGCAGCATGATGCGTTGACGTGCGTGTTGCTTCCCTATTGTCTGATCCAAGAACGAGCCATCCGAAGATGGAGAGTTGCGCTATCGGCATGAGTGGAGAATGCCTGATGATATTGGGCTTGATGATTTGCCCGTAAGCGTCTGCGCCGATGAGGATGTCAACTGGCCGCGGGATGAGAAAATCAGGGTCGGCTAATGCCAAGTTCTTGAGATGCGGCCATTCTTCCGGTTCTGCCTCGAACGATGGTAAGATTGATGTAACTGTCAGCAGGACATGAGCTTGAATTGTGGCAGCTGCGTTGGAATGTGTCGAGCGTAACGTGAGTGACACGACTCCTCGTGTCCAAGTACACTCCTTGCCTGCAATTCCAGTGACGACAATACTTGAGTAGTGACGA